GATTCCATTAAATTTAAATGCCAAAATTTTATTATTTGTAGAAGAAATTTATGAATTTAAGTTATTGAATGATATCCAAACTAAATTTATTTTATATATAGGATTAAGATATTATCTATATTATAATTATGATTATTTAGCACATAGAATAGGTTAATTTAATACGTATTAAGTTAAATATAATTAAAGGATTCCTATAGTAAAACAATACTGTCTTTTATTTGTATGGAGTAAGACTAATTGACTTTGATATTGTAAAAGATATCCGGTTGCTTTTTATAAACTTAAAGTAATATACGAATTTACAGCCCACCTGATGGTAAGTGGTTACAGCAATCTAGGAAGACCTGCAATTAATTTGAAATAAAGAAAGTCACAGACACGTTGTCACCTCTGAAGACTAAGATGGAATGCCCCACAGGCACTGCCTGTAGATGTATTGGCTCCCCATACCCTCCAGACCGGAACACAGCAGAGCAGACACTGCCGTTTGAAAGGACAGCAACACGTAAGAGGGGTGGTGGTGCCTTCCAAGATACTCCTTGGTAGAATAAGTTTTACCACTCAACTTAGTAAGTCGCGTGCTATAACTTAGTATATTTGTATGCGAGAGTTTTACACTTAGATATTTAAGCAAGGTCCGGTGGTGAGAAAATTATTGTAAAGAAGGGTTATTCCGTTTATACACCCTAAAGAATCCACAGTAGGGTGGATACTCGGAAACACGTGTTCATCCACCCCGTCTAGGGTATTTAAAGTCCACGCATTACGTATTGCATTTAAATCAAATTAAACTTTCTCGTTTTGAATATAATTATTGCGTAATTTATAAATTCTGCAATATGTCCAGGCAATTACAAACACTAATTTCATTATTGAGCAGACGTAATTTGATATCCTGGACCGTCACTTTTATGTACATTTGCAATCGTTTTCTAAATTTTTTGCTACCATAGATGTGTTAGCGAAGAACTGGGCGTTTTTTGCTACCATTTCAAAAACGTTACTATTGGAAATCGCTGCGCGGAATTGTCCATATTACTTTGCATCTTTTCTTGTCGTTACTAAGGGCTGTCAATAAAGAATAAAAAAAATACATTGCGAAAGGGTAAGTTACTTAGGTGAGGTACCTATTCTGAATATGATCGACTAACCATATTTTCCCTATGTGAGTTCTATGACTTTCTTACAGGCAACGGCATACGGCAACTTGCAAGGCCGTTCGTCGTGAATCGCGATGCATAGCTCGGAAGAAATATGTAGGTAGTGTTAATATCAAAAATAAACCAGGAATACGATTCCTAAATGAAATGTGATTATATTCTACTTAGTTAAAAATCTTGTTATAACAAAGTTTTAATTTCAGTATGTTGTGTTATTATAACTTAAAATATTTTAAAGCTATGTAAGTAGGGATTTGGATAGTGAACCAAATCTCAACTAGGTAAGTTTTATATTAAAGTACTTCAATATTACTTCTGTAGTAAAATTATTACTTAATTCTTCTTTCGCTATAAGTAAAAAAATAAATATGAAATAAATTTACTTCATAACTTCCTACTAAAATCCTTCGGTAACTAAAAGAATGATTTATCTAAAACCTTTTTTTTTTTGTCATTAAACATCCATCCGTGCAACAATTATAGTATGAACGACGTTTTGCGATTATAATTTATCAAATAGATGGGTAATAATTTATTAACATACATTACAATTATTGTCGTTACAATTATTTTGAGCTCTGACGCCTGCTTTAGTTAAAACTGTGCTACAGGCCTCAGACTTCCCCATCTGTTGTCTAAGTAAGTAATAATGCATATTTACTATTATAAAAAAATATGTTAGTTAAAAATAGTAATAAAAAAGTGATAATATGGTACTAATTCTATTGTAAGGCCAAATTGCGCGCCTGCGTGTGTGCGTGTGTGTGTGTGTGTGTGTGTGTGTGTGTGTTGTGTGCGTGCGTGCGTGCGTGCGTGCGTGCGTTGCGTGCGTCGTGCGTGCGTGCGTGTGTGTGTGTGTGTGTGATTAAGTGATCTTTATGAACAATTCTTAAATCTCATCGTAATTGAAGCCGTTAAGAGTTTGTTTTAGTATTTTCTTAAATTCGTGGTTATTAAGGTTAATAAAAGTTTTAACATTTCTGTTACTGAAAACATACCTCACTGCTTGTACAGGTCATATGTGGGGTATTTAAAAGGCAACCGCATCGTAACTTATAGGACGGCGCGTTGCGCACGCTCTAGTAGTATGAGGTGTATCTTTGCTGCGCACTCCCAGACGCAAATACAATATGAAATAGTGCTCTCACACAATATTATACATAATTTTTAAATTATATTAAAACTATCTACTGTTTTACCCTACAATTAAATATACTAAACACTAACAAAGACTATTTCAACAAGTAAGTATTTTCAAAAACTATTTACGTAAACAGCGTTAAAAAACTTAAGGTGAAGTGAGCGCCAAAAGCAAGGTTTTTCACGCTTTATATGGTGCGCAGAAAATCAATTTTTGTCATTAAAAACTACGAATTCACATTTTTTTAAAATTCATCATTATGAAAGTTAAATATTTTTATTAGCCAAAACACCATTGACACATTTTGGCTCGATAGGAAAAGATTTGCAAAGCTTCCTCAAAATCTACAATTTTAGGTACGCCCACTAAGTGGAAAGGCAAGCTCTCAGTGCGAGTCCGATATGACCTATTCTTTCATCTCGCGGGTGCGTAGACATTTCCCCATGAAAAAGACAACTAAAATGATGAATCACCAGCTAACCTTTAAACCACAATGTAGCAAGCTAGGACAGTCTTCTATGTTGCAAGATTTCTCTTTTATGGGTAAGAAATTCAGTAGAATAATAGATTGTGAGGCATATGATAGACATCTGGACTGACAATGTTTCGGTGAACTAAGTCTGAAGACCATAATCTTGTCGGTATCCATGTGCTGCAGTGAATACTTACCAGGTGTACTGCTAGCTGGTTTGTCACTCTAATATTGAAAGGAGAGAAATCAGAGGTTTCGCTTTAAGGGTTCCATTAAAACTTTCTAATATTCTTAAAAATATCGTTATTATAAAAAATATTATCATTTTTTAATTTCCCATAAGTAGTTGTTAAATATCTGAACGTCTTTGTCACCTCTTATAGTATAATAGTCATGAAATCCTTTCGACATTTTCTATAAACGAATCTCGTTCACAGGATAATTTTACTCCTAGCGGAGAAATCTCGTTTCATTGCTTACAATTAGCACAAATTTTTAAATAAAATATTAACATTCTAAAATTTGACATATTATAACTAAACAGTCATAACTTATAACATATAAGTTAGAATATAGCTACATATATATAAAAAAAAAACTGAAAAGTATTTTAGTTTATTTGCTTATTCTACATATCACACTTGAAATTAGTGCGTAATGCGAAACGCTATCACATTAACAGCGATAGTGACTTTATTGTACGAGTACGCTATGGATAGAGGTTTATGGTATTGTAGCGGCGCTGTCGTCACGCCACAAGCTAAAAAGATCGAAGTCTAAATCGCGCTATCAAAGTTCCGAAGTAAAGCAGTATAGAATAGCTCTGAACTACCTACCACTTGGTAGCATTGGCTGCTCACCGGGCTGAAAACCTTACCCGGCGGGAGATTTCCCCTTCCCTTAATCGCTAAACTGGTGACTAACCGACGTGATGTGAACACGCAACCAACAACCTTCGGAAACTACAACGTCAAGTCTTCGTCATTATCCTCAAGAACACCTTCCATTCACTCCTGAGAATCGTCCTGTACCTGCAAGCTAGTCCAACTTGTCTTCATCTCAACTCACCGCAGATTTATAAGGCAGACTTCTGACACACTCGCTCCAGCACATCGTTCTTACCGGCATCACTTGCAAGTGCGTAGTACGGCATGCATTATATACACACCGGCGTCTCTTGTCTTTACACACACAGCGTGCATTCTCCCACCGGCTATCGGACTGCACTATCGAATCGATGGTATCGACCTCCGGCCTGAGCAGGGGGTGATGTGGCGTCGCTGTCGTCGAGCCACAAGCTAAACACATCAAAGCCTAAATCGTTTCGAAGTAAATCAGTATATATAGAATAGCTCCGAACTACCACTTGGAGCATTTGCCACTCCCCGGGCAGAACAGCTTACCCGGCGGGAGATCTCCCATTTCGTTTCATCGCTAAAGTGTTATATCAATATTCATATTTTAAATAATAATACATAATAAATACTTGGTCGCCCTTATACTTAACCTCTCAAACACCAAGCGGCCAAATTTGACCGCTTCCATATTTCGTCAAAATTCAAGCAGTCAAATATGACCGCACACACCCATATCATTTTAACCCATAAAAACTTATGTTTAGAGACTACTTTTCTATGAAGAAGTTTGGCATTATAGAATCAATATGAAATTTTCTATCCTCTAGTGGAATAAAAAGACAACTAGTCTATGGATATTAATTTATATTCTACGTTCATTACGTACGCCATTTTCATTTGGATGTTGTGTTGATTTTTGGATTTTTCTAGTATTTTATATGAAAGTTTTTGTGTAAATATAATTTATCTTTTTACGTAAATAATTTCGAGTAATATATAGAAATAATAGTGATTTTCACGCTGCCGACATCCTCTTAGAATATATTTTTTGTTATCAAAATACAATAAAATTTTTTTGTAATGAAGTAAAACCTGACTTTTGTTTAGACTACAAGATAGAGAATTATGAATAGATATTATAATACCAAACTTCTTCATAGAAAGTAGTTTCTAAATATAAGTTTTAATGGTTTTAAGTGCTGTGGGTGGGCGTGGTCGCATGCGACCCGCTCGGGATTTGCCAGGCGCATGCGATTGCATGGGAATTTTATGGGGAAAGGGTTAAATAACAAATGTGGGAGGAGTATTTCTTAATTAAAACACTTGATATTTCCTAATATATTTTTATTTAACTAAATAAGGTGCGTTTAAAGTTGACTTGTGCCTTGAATGACAGTCTTTATGCCAGTTGGTTTTTGCTTTGGTAATCTGTAAAAGCGATCAAAACCAAATATTATTATTGTATTATTTATATAAAAATATTTTATCTAAAGATTTGGATGAAATTTTGTATTAAGGTGTCATCCATCTAGTAATGTGTCCCTCATTCACTGCATGACTTCTTTTAAGGTCCTCGTAATGGCAAATTGAAAGAGAAAAAAAGAGTTTCTCCAATTTTCAACATTGCACTACCTCACTTACGCGCTCTCGTCCTCACATAAAATACAAATTAGGAATTGACATTATGTATTATGTACAAATTATGTAGCAATATCTAAGAGCGAGGTCTCGATCATGGTAAGGAGAACTGTCTCTGTATATTAAAGTGTCCGTAGGAAAACGTTAAATAATTATAACTTTTTATAGCACAAACTTACACCATAATTCTTTTTTGTAATAATTATTTTATAGTTTTCAAAATTTTTATTCTTAAAATCACTGTCAACGTATTTTACGGCAACTTTTATTTTTATTTAATCTAGATTAAATTTACGAAACTATTTTAGACAACATGAGTGGTTGAGGTTTTAAATACTGCAGATTCATCGATTACTCTAGTCACCACAAATATTAAATTCATCAACTCAGTACACTTCGCCACGTCAACTGCTAAGTTCATTTTATACCTTCTAGCTACTCTAGCGCTGTTGTGGTGAGTTTTTAAACTCTTATTTACTGCTTACAGATGAACACTTTTTCAACTATTCTCCATGTGAGACGGTTCTCCTTACATCTACACTCCAAGGTCTCGATATTGAGAAAAAGGTAAATAACAAAAAAAAAATGTTCGGTTGAATATGAAATAAATCGTTAGATAGTTTTTATCACCCAATTTTGCGCGCAAACAGTGATCACAGACATATAAATATGGTGACCTTTACAGCCTATGTTGTCCACGGCTGAACACGGTCCCCCATATAGATTGTCACATAGGGGGGTTATTTGCCGTCGTTGCCACGCTTGGCGAGCGTATGGAAGATGCTGCTGTTCATTTCCTGGTTTGTTTTTTCAATCGCCCCTTACGACACCCACGGGTCGATATCAGGTAAGTTCTAGACGTGGTAGTCATGCTGCAATTATATTAGGAGTATAAATGTAGCACGAACTGGTCTGCTCGACCGTAATAGTAGCTTAATGCTGCTGTGTTTCGTATGGTGAGTGTAGACAACCGGAGACCCTTTTTACTGGAAAAGAGGCATACCATCTTAGTGCTCACGGGTGACAACGCATCTGAATTTTGATTCGTAATCGGGGATAGATGTAGATGTCTATGGACCACAGCAATTACTTTACCATCAGGTGGACTGTGGGCTCGTTTGTCACCCTATCCTATAAAAAAGGTAAAGAATATTATTACACTGCAACTACATTATTTCAAATAGCATTAAATACAATTAAACTTTAAAAAGTAATGGGCGAGTAAGATCATACCGCGTATGGATAATTTTGCGCGGGGAAGAGGGATGCACGAGGTCGTGCTGTCTCTCCCACTCGAGATACTTCTGATGTTGGCGCTGTCTGCGTCTGTCCACGTAGCTTATCTAAATAATGCAATTAAACATTAATATTATAAGATGTATATTATATGATATTGTTAACATTAAGTTTGAGAACCGACAGTCACGCGCACTCCGCAGTCTAAGTATAAAGCTACAAGCTAAGGTTGTTCCAAACGGCTATAAATAAATAGCACGCTACTGACTATAAATTTCTAGCGCGCTATTAAATGCCCTATGTTATAGTGCGCTATTTATAAGAAAGCGTATGGGTCCGGCAAGCGGGTAAAATTTTGCAGCACGCTAAATCGCATAGCACGTTACATTACATGTCGTTCGCTGGATAGACCGCGTGCTATATAAGAATATTATTTCGTAAGAAGTCGCATTTTAAACTAAAATAAAACAGTAAAGGAAAACCAATGAAGACACTTTATAACTTTATTAGTTAATATAATTTTTATGGTTACGATGGTCTATAATCGACGTAATTTTAACCCTAATGTAAATTACAAATCAAGTTTAGTGAAGTAAAGGCGTATTTAAAGTTTATTGATAGTATATACAAAACTCAACGATTTACATACACTATTATATACACTCTTGTACCTTTATTTTATTTACATTTAAAACATTAGTTAGGCTACTTTTCTAGCAGACGACCGTGTCCTTTGATCACTTATAAATATACAGTATACACTACACGATGAATAGCGTGCTACTCGATCAATTTAGCGTCACACGTCTACTCCTAATAGCCAAAGAGTATAATAAGTATATACAGGAAAAGAGAGCCCTCTGACGACATTTTATTGCAGACAAAATTGAACTACTAGCGCCTCCTACAAATTGAATCCGAACTAATTCGCTATATATAGCTCTACATATACCTCTTCTATAGTAGTAAAATGTATAATATTGTTCGTATACATACTGAAACAGTTTTACTGCCTACTTTTTGTAATACTGTTTTTGATATTATTAAAAGTAGGTAAAACAGTTTCAGTAAGTACACTGGTATTTATGGGGTATTTGCAATGAAACAAGAAAAATAACGATGAGCACACGCAAAAAGTAGCCACCATTTTGACTTTTTTTTTGTTTGAATATTTGACGTTTTGAAGTTTAGGGTGGCCAGTATCATAATTATCATAATCGATTGATTTCATGATGTTTAAGTTTTTATTTTATGTGAAAATAATATTTGTTATAAACAAAATCACCAATAAATTTATCGTGCATTTAATTTTATTTTTAAGCTAATTTTAGTTTCTTTTTAAAAGTAGCGACATCTGTGAAGACCTTAGACCAATAATAAACATAATGTTTTCGGAAACAAATTATGGATGGCGCTACCTTCAATTGAATTCTTGTGGTCTTGGCAATTTGCTAATAGCGCTGCTGCTAGAACTAGAACTAGTTGCCGTTAGGTGTTAATAGCGCCATAGCGCCATGACATCTTATTACATTGCACGTGCTATGCGCTATATTAACCACCATTACTACAAGCAAATAAACGGCGGGCTCGTGTTGTCGGGTAAGTCAAAGGGCGGCCGCGCGCCGGCGTTGTTGTTGACACAGCGCAAATTTTACAGTATGCAAATAACTCGGGTCCGAACCCCGATGGCAGCAATGAAATTGTTAGTTGCAATTTTAAGTGCTGATTTACCACCTGCTTGGCGGTGAAGGAAAACATCGTGAGGATATCTTCATGTCTGAGGAATAATTTTCTGGTGTACATATAAAGTACTCCAACATATAGTGAAGTTCTTAAACAAATTATTATATGACACTGGCAAAAGTACAAAAGTACGAGTCCACTACAAAGAAAAAAAAAATGCTGATGCATTATTACATTGCAAAGTTTCTGGGAGATTGTAAAGGCATCTTGAGCCAGCAGTAAGTGGATGAGGATAGTATCTCAAGATGCTTAAGCAGACACATTATCTTGAGGTCACATCCCCATCAGAGCACTTGTTTCATAACCACATCTCTCTCATCACTTTAAGCAATTAAAATCTATTTCAAACCATTATTCAAATAATAATACAGGAACGCAGCAATTCGCCACCGGTCAAGTTCCCGCCAAAAACTCCTGGCGAGTGTTGCATTTGAGAGTTCTGTTTTGCTGTTAATTGTTTTTGTTGCCCCCAGTCCGATTTTTTTTGAACAAAGTGTCGGACTGGGGGCGACTAAATCTAGTCCAGTTTAATCCCCAGAAGACATAAATTTGCGCGTTAACCGCTAAAAAAACCCCTTCGTCGTATTTCCTCAATTTCAAGGCACTTCCCTTGTTGCCTAAGCTAGTATCGGAATCCTCGCCGTCAACATATCGAATGACGTGCAGTTTCCTGGTCACTTGGAAGAGAAGCCAAATTGGCCTCTAAAAAGCTTGGCGTGCTCAGCAGATTGGGACAGTATTTCATGCAGGCACACCGCCTGCAACTTTACAAGGCGCAGGTTCGGCCGCACATGGAATACTGTTCCCATCTCCGGGCTGGGGCTCACCAGTGCCAGCTCCTTCCATTTGATCGCATCCAGCGCGAAGAAGTTCGATTCGTCAGCGACCGAGCTCTTTCCGATCGGCTTGACTCAAAGCACTGCGAAGAGATGTTGCATCTCTTTGCGTATTTTATCGCATTTACCACGGGGAGTGCTCTGAGGATTGTTCACTAATTCCAGCCGCACAATTTCACCATCGCACATCGTGACAAAATTCGCGATACCATCCATACCATCTGGATGACTGGCGGTCTACCACCGTGCGATTTAAAAGAAGTTTTGTTCCTCGCACAACTTCATTGTGGAATCGACTACCACCAGACATTTTCCCGAACCTATACAACTTAGGGACCTTCAAGAAAAGAGCCTACACCTTTTTAAAAGGCCGGCAACGCATCTGCAATTCCCCTGGTGTTGCAGTTGCTCATGGGCGGTGGTAATCACTTACCATCAGGTGAGCCGTATGGTCGTTCGCCCCCCTCAGCTATAAAAAAAAGACCAAAAAACTCACCACACAACTGGCCGGTATCCACACGAAAGCGGTTACAAGGACAACCACCCCCACTATGTTGTCCCGCAAGAATCCCAACACGTTGTTGATGTTGATGTCCTCTATTATATTCCAGATTCGCTCCACCACGTCTTGTATTGTTTTCTCGCAGACGCCCTGCAAGGAATATAATAAATCGTCTTAATGATGATCATGCTTTTCTGCAGATTTTACTTTTGGCGTCATTTCCTGAATTTATTTATTTTATTGATTAACTGTTACACGAGAATGTTCTCCATAATAAGGGTCAATGGCCTCTGTCAAGTAATAAAATGTGATATACATACATGTATATGCATAAAAATAGATAACGCTCGAACTGTAGGTGCAAGCAAGACGCAACCTTATATATACTGCGTGATTTGTTTATGGTCTGGAAAAAAAATAAGGTGTAACAGTTGAACGAAATAGAAACCTATGGCACTGATATTTTATAATTTTTTTTAAAAATTACATTTACATATTATGAAATTGATCTATCAATAAATACTACTAATTTGAAATCAAAGAGATTTAAATATATATCTACTATAGAGCGGACATTGGGAACATTTACATACAAAAACTGTGAGCACGCGCTCGTGTTAAACCCTCTAGCGAAAAATAGCAATACTACGCTGAATATTTATTTGGAAAACATTTTAGCTATTTCCCATTAGGTGACGCTTTTAAACATGAGGTAAAAATCGGTTTTAGGCACGTCTTGAATTACTAACATATTAGTAAATAAATAGTGACGTTACTGGATAATAGAGGGCACTTATTACAATAATTTTTCTTTCTTCTAGAACAATCTACCAGAAATAACAAAATTTATAGATTATTTGGTAAATATACATTATTCTTAGAATAATAAACCGAAATCATGTTCATTTTTTACTCCATATCGTGACTTACTATATATACCTTAATGCACAATCGGGAATATTTTCTTTAAAAATATTTTTTAAATTTATGAAACAAATGCGTCTCGACCTTTCGGTGATATCCTATAGGACAATAGTTACAGACGACAATTTTGTTGCTGGTGCCCGGTCTATTACCACTACATACTTAAATGTCTTTGTTTGAAATAAACTTTCGATATTTAAAAAAACTACTGTTGCGCGGCTAAGTTGACATCTGGCACTAGCGCCATCTAGTGTCGGGTAACAGAGCGAGGAGAGAGCTTTCCAGAAAATGACAACACTAATCTTTCTACCGACAGCGCCATTTGTTGTCGAAACAAAGAACTAAGTTCTAGAAGCCCGACACTCGAACTTTCGATGCTTAGTCGATTGGCCCGCGTATTTACTTGAATGTTCTGGATGATTCGGTACTAATGTGTATTTATAGGCGCTGCAAGGAGCGATCGGGGAAGTATTGAATTTGGCGAGACAAGCGAAGCTTCGGAGCGAAATAAAGTGAATAAGTGTGATTAATTATTAGTGTTTTAAGTTTAAATTTGTGTAAAGAAAATTAAATGTTAATTTAGGTAATTTTATCGGCAATTTTTATTGTCACGAACCTCAAGCTCGTAACACTACAAAACTTTTGAACTATCAATGAAAACCTATCGAAATTAAAATAATACGTACGCAATTAGTAGCATTTATCGATAGACCAATTTCATAAGTTCATGAAAAATAAAATAAAAATTGTAAAAATATCAGTTCCGTACTTCTATTCCGTTTACCTGCTATACCATATTTTTTTCCAGACGTATAAAGCGTATATTTTCTCCTTCTTCTCTAATTTGGATATATTGCTGTCGTTATCCAATCGCGAGTGTTCTAGTACATTCTATATAAATATATATATATATGATGAAATATAGATTATTGGAAAATTAATTACTTTTACTTTTACTAATTTTACTAATTACCATATTATTACTGGTTACAGGTATCTACACTCCTCAAAAAAGAATAACCCAGCAACATGTGAGTATAAAAAACAATGCTCCTAGAGCCATAAGTACTAAGAAACATTGAACTAAAAACAATGATTTTTTATCTAAGCACATACTATGTCCAGCACGCCAAAGTCTATGTTTGACCGCTAGTGTTGTGATGCGTTAGGCATAGATTTATTGAAAACTATTCAAAATTAAACGCAAACCTGTTATTTTTAAAATTATTTTTGATATTTGAATAAAACAAAAGGTAAGAAACATTAAACTATCATCAGGTACATAAATAAAAGAAAATTTCACCAAATCAACTTCGCATAATAAATCTAATATCTCAACTCTGACGCATCCTTAGCGCGTCATCGATTATCAGTTCACTGGCCGCCATGGTCAAGGATAGACGACACCCTGATGACGTCATAAACGAATAGCGGAAAAAGTAGTGCAGTGCAATATGAACGATTCCTCAAAACTCATTCGCGTTTTGGAAAGCTTCGATGATGATGAATTCTTTTATTTGAATAATATAAAATTACAAATAATAAATGTTTATTTTTTTCTTTTTCAATCTCAAAATCATCTGGTAGCATCAGAATCATATCAAACCCCAATTGTCATAAAAGCGTAAGACTTTTCTTCTGTGCTTCACTTAGCCTGCGCCTCCCCCCGACACATAAAATATTTTGAGTAGATCTCTGTATATTTTGGTTAGATCGATTTCGAAATCGATACACACAACGTGCGTCATGACTACATCTCTAAGAAAGCTTCAAAAAGTAAGGTTAGCTACGCCGTTGTCGTCCAGTCGTGACAGTGACGTCATCACGATGAAGAGTAGTGTTATGGTTAACTACTATATTATTGTTATTGTTTGTTTTTATTTAGTAAGTTTTTTTGTACTAAGTACATAATATATAAAAAGAGTGGAAGACAGCACAAGATTAAATAAAACATACCAGATTATAAAGAGTCATTTATTGCATAAAAAACAACAAAATAAAGTTATTTTGTATCGATATATTAACTCTTGGCAACGCTATTATTTCGTAGGTATTTTTGTTTACTTTTCGCTTTGGCGTACAGGACACAGTAATGCGTTTTTGGCGTGGCGCTCAAAAGGTTAAATGTGTAGTGTTCGCGTAAATATAAGAAATCATTATGCTAAATACCTTATTACAGAATCCTTGTATACAGGGAGTTCCGTCGGGCAGTATGTCGTTGTGTGCGACGGGGAAGCACGTCTTGTTCAGACTCTTGCGGCAGCAGCGTTTGCACGCGTCCGCAACTGTAAGGAACACGTACATTTATGTCATTCACCAGAGCATGGGATAGTAAAATGAAAATGAAAACTCTAATTTTAGCTCACTTCAAAAAAGAAGAAGTTTTTACAATGTTTGTTTATGTATGTTACACGATATCTTCGCCAATGTTGAATTGATTTTAATTATTTTTTTAAATTAAATAGGTATATTGTATAAATACACTTAAGGGGTGCTCATATAAATATTGGAGTAAAAATTCTATCCCTAAGGGAAGCAAAATAGGGAATGATGGTTTTAATGTAACTTTTTAGACATTATTGAAATAGTGATATTCCTTAGTTCTCTTTTATACTTTTGGGTAAAAAATTAACTATTAACAAAAAGTGATAGAAGAAGCATAAGCTATGATGATTATAGTAGAATTCAGGCCCTGACTTAAAAATGTGCCTTTTATATATTTTTTTTAGTTCTTTGAAGTCAGATTTTACTTCTTGTTAAAAGTGAATGTTTTCGACGTAAGAAATTAAAATTTCGTTTGTCAAACGTTTACATGTAATCTACTACCGTTTTAAAATGAGGTTGCTCTGCCCGAAGAAGAAATGGCGAAAGAAAAAGCGCAGCGGGGTTAACCATGTTGACATCCTACAATCTTTAACGTCAATAGATAACTATAAAAGTGAATGTAACAAACATATCACATTAATGCCACGCAACTTGACATCAAAATATGTACTCCCACGGTAAAGGTGAGACATAACATAAAACCGCAGGTGGATTGACGATCGCAGTGCAGTTTCACCTTAAACGCTACTGCCTGTCGTCTGGGATTTTTTTACGTTTAACGTAATCCAGATGTTTATATCGTCACCTGTGCATGCCCTGCGACCCGCAGTAGTGTGTGTGTGTGTGTGTGTGTGTGTGTGTCAATGACCGATGTCGCACATGCAGCTGTGCATGCCATGCATCTCGCAGTAGGGTGTGTGTGTCACTGACCGATGTCGCACATGCAGCTGTGCATGCCCTGCATATCGCAGTAGGTTGCGTATGTGTGTGTGTGTGTGTGTGTGTGTGTGTGTGTGTGTGTGTGTGTGTGTGTGCGTGTTCGTGTGAGTATATGTGTGTGTGTGTGCGCGCGGGTTAAGTGTGAAGACCCTTCTAATATCTGCTTCACAAGGAATTTGGCCGTGCGTCATAGCACGGGTTGCTTAGTAAGAGATATTTTAATATAAATACTAGGCTAAGTTCTGTAAGACGGATTAGTTTTGGAAGTAATTATAAACTGTAACGCTGTAATTTTGTATAAATAAATTATTTTTTTTAAATAAAGTCGTTATCGTCAACTTAATTGGCGCAGCCGGTAGGATATTCGTAGTTGTCTAGGAAGAGTCTGTGTCGTCGGTTATCATCGTGATCCAGTACCAGTATCCTGACAACGTGCGTTTCAACGCTTGGACGAATATCACCGAACAAACAAATTAAGGACTTCGCGACTTCAGCAGAAACAGCCGAGACTCCAGAACTAGCAATATCCCAGAGGGACATGGGTAGATCTGCGAGACTGTGAGTAAAACTTTTCACTTCCCGTAACCTTCCTTTTGTTTCCTCTTGTATTAGTTATACGTAGGTATTGTCTTTGATTAGAAAACACCATAACAACTCCACCAACTACTCTTCTACTAAACAATCAAAATTTTGTTAGTAGATCTTAGCTAAATCAATTTTATTCTTGGTATTTAAAAACTTTGATATTTATTTTATTTTAAAATGGAAAACATTGAAAGAATTCCCGTAGAAATGACGAAAATTATCCCAATTTTTAATGGAGATGCTAGGTTATTACCTTTATTCATACAAAATGCGAATATATTTTACAAATATTCCAAGGGGGGTAACTTACAAAATGAATATTTATTTCACGTCATTACTAGTCGCTTGTCGGGGGAAGCTGCTAGTTTAGTGGGGGAAAGGGAGCAGATAGACTCTTGGGCAGACCTCAAGTCGCTGTTAAACCAACACTTTGGCGACCCAAGGTCTGAAGAATGCTTAGCTATGGAGCTAGAGAGAGTCTTAGAAAACATAGAAACGAAAGTTATCAAGAATTTTGTCACCGGGTGCAACATTTTGTTTTCAAAAATTAACGAAACTATTAATAATCGAGACTTACGGCAAGCTAAACAAACGATATACGACAACACAGCATTAAACGTTGTTTTATACAATTTACCTGCTTACTTAGTGAGACTAGTAACTAACGACTACGTAATGTTACCACCTTAGAAGACGCATTAAAAATTGTCTTAGAGGAACAGAACTTCCAAATAGTTTACGAAAATAGGAACTCAAGGTCTAATCAAAATTTTAGACAAAGCCATTTCCGAAATCATCCCAATTTTAATCATAATAATAAATATAAAGGCCCAAGTTTTCAATATCAAACGCACGGCCATTCATCTAATAACCAAAACAATTCATTTAATTCAAATAATATTTCTCCCCACTTCGGAAATAATCATACAATGTACAATAGAAATAATTTTAATGCGAACTTTGAAACTGCGACCGTCATCGGCGCAACACCGTCAGCATATTTCACGAAACAATATGCAATACCGAGCGTCACAAGTGCCGTCGAACTCTGATATTGACGTCACAATGAGGACAGTTAGTTCAAGACGCGTAAATTATATAGATACCGAAAATAACATTCAACCTAATATCTCGCAAAACCAATTTGATTTTAATTCTCATTCGACATTCTCACCGAAATAGGAAATTTTTTTATAACAGCAATAAGAGAAAAGAAACCTAAAACACCGTCAGTTATGTCAATTTCCGACACTGAAAGCGAGAAATCTATAGTTGTTTCTGACACCGAAGTCGAGCCACCGATGGAACTGATGGAATTATCAGACGATGGTGTCACAGCAAACTCAGTATCAAACAGGGAACATGAAGGGATTCCTACCCTGAAAAAAGCTATAGATACTAAACCACGTCAAATTTTAGTTTCTAGATGGTTTAGCGATAAAATATCTGTTAGATATTTCAAATAAAAGACAACGTATACTAAAAGTTCACATGCCTTTACATAAGTAATGAGAAACTTGTCAAAGATTTTTTTTTAAAGAATACATACATACATATAATCACGCCTCTTTTCCCGTAGGGGTAGGCAGAGACCACTTCTTTCCACTTGCTACGATCCTTACATACTTGTTTCGCTTCGTCTACTTTCATTATTCCCTTCATACATGCTCTACGGTTTAGGGTACTCTTAACCTGGCCTTTTTTCAAGACGTCCCTAATTTGGTCTAGAAAAGTCCGCCTAGGTCTACCCCTTCCAGCACTTCCATTTACACTCGCCTTATACACTTTTTTCGTCAATCGTTCTTCATTCATTCTCTCGATGTGGCCAAACCATCTCAGCATGCCTTTCTCAATTTTTGTCACTACATCTTCTTTCAGACCACAAAGTTTCCTTATCTCACTATTTCTTATCCTGTCACTCAGTTTAACTCCTATCATACTTCTTAATGCTCTCATCTCAACTGCATTTATTCTACTTTCATGTTTCTTCTGCCATACCCAACTTTCACTTCCGTACATGAGTGTCGGAACCAACACCCCCCTCATGCACAGCCAAACGAGCCTTGTTAGACACTTTCCGACTGCTCATAAAGGAGTGCAAAGCTCCATTCACCATGTTTCCTGCATTCACTCTTCTTTCGATATCACTCTCACACTTTCCATCTCTTGTAAACTTTGACCCCAGATACACAAACTCTTTCACCTGTTCAATTTGTTCATCTTCAATCACGATATTGCAGTCTGTCACTGCCTCATCTTTTTCAAACACCATCACTTTCGTCTTCTTTACATTCATCTTCATTCCCTTTCTAACAAAAGCTCCACTCATAGCAGTTACCATCTCCTGCAACTCCTCGGCCGAAGACGCAAGTAATACTTGGTCATCAGTATAGAGAAAACATTTGACGAGTAACTCATTCATTCTCAACCCACTTTCATTCTCTTTTAAATCTGTCATACAATTGTCCATGAACAGATTAAACAGCCACGGTGACGCTACACATCCCTGTCTAACACCTTTTTCGATATTAAACCATTCAGTGTATGCCCCGTTTATCCTTACACAAGCACTAGAATCCCTATAAAGAGATTGCAATGCTCGTATGAGGACACTGCTCACACCGTTCATGGACAGTGCTGACCACAATTCATTCCTCACCACTCTATCATAAGCCTTTTCTAGATCTACGAAGGCGCAGTAGACTTTCTTGTTTTTAGCCAAACACTTTTCAGCTATGCACCGCAAGGAAAAGACCTGATCCGTACATCCCATTCCCTTTCTAAATCCCGCTTGTGCATCCCATATTTTCTCGTCTGTTTCATTCACAACCCTTTCAATCAACACTTTCGCATACAATTTACCGACCGACCGACTACCGACTAAGAAGGCTTATACCACGGTAATTTATGCAGTCCTGCCGTGACCCTTTTCCCTTATACAATGGCACGATTACGGCTTTGCACCAGTCTCCCGGCACTTGCCCATTTCGCCAGCACAGATTGAAAAGGCGGTACAGCTGACTAGCCACCAGGCCCTGTCCAGCCCTCAGCATCTCGACGGTAATCCTGTCATACCCTGCAGCCTTACCTAATCTCATACTTTTCAACGCTTTCACTATTTCATCCATGCTTATCTCATTTTCATCAACATTTATATTCGTTTCCGTGGAAGGTGGTAGATGCTGTACCTGCACTTCCTCTCTTTCAAACAGACTTTCAAAATACTCTTTCCATCTCTTTAACACACATTCTTCTCCTTTTATAATGCTCCCATCTTGACTCCTGATTGTACTCAGCTCCGAGGTAGAAGTTTTTCCTTCGGCTGTTTTGATGGTTTTCCAGAAAAACTTAATGTTTGACTGGAAATCTTCAGTGAGCCTCCTATCGAAATCATCTTTTCGTTCTTCTTTCTTTCTAGACACAGTTTCTGGTGGAG